TTTTGTTGAAATAAATGATTTTTCATTTTAAATGTGCGCCTATAACGCTAACAAATACGTCCACACAATGACTACTAATACGAAACTCGGATCAGTACGCTATCATTCAAATGCTGAAATAATATACAACATATTTAACTCATCGAATCCATCAATTATCACAAGACAAAGTGTTCGTCTAAATTCGGTACAAACAAATAAACAACACGTCTCATCCAGCACATCACCACTAGACAATATGCTGCAAGAATTAGTGATATACACTGATACCGACCAGCATCATTATGATTTTCTCAATATTGTCAGACGAAATGCATGTATATTCGATACCTCAAAGATGACCAGAGCAAATATTAAGATTCATCATACTATTTACACTGGTGATCATCTACCAACAAGCGTTCAGCCATATTATAAGACGGTCCAACAAAGAAAAGATATACAGCAGGAAGTGAAAAACTACTCGATCAAAGCATTCTTCGACCATCAAACTCCTCATGGTCGTCACCAGTATTGTTAAAAAAAGACACCAGATAGTACCCATCGATTTTTAGTCAACTTCCGTCAGCTTAATGCAATTACCCAAAAGAACTCTTACCCTCAAGTATCGACCGAAGCATTACTACACCGTTTGCCTGACTACCGTTATTTCACAAAACTGGACTTGAAGTCTGGTTATTTTCAGATCCTAATACACGAATCAGATATTCCAAAAACAGCTATTGTTACTCAAGATGGTCTATATTAATTTACAGTGCTTGCTCAAGGGCTTATGAATGCACCACCTACATTCCAGCTGGTGATGAACTAATTATTGGCAAATGGGAGATGGGATTATGTGTTTGTATATCTTGATGATATTGTCTTTTGTTTTGAAAAACAATCGAAGAGCATAAGCAACATATAGCTGATATCATCTCAACACTTCACAAAACCAATTTTCAAGTATCACCATTGAAATTCTCAATAGCCTTCGAGAATATTGAATTTTTAAGTCTCATTGTTATACAGGACAAAGCAGAACCATTACCCGACAAGATTAAAGCAATTGTTGATATTGCTCCATCTAACACACTGTCACAAGCTAACAAATTTATAGGTAAAGTTGTTTATTATTGTAAATTTATTTGTGACTCTGCAAAAATTGCTGCGCTGATTCACAAGGTCACCAAGAAAAACGACACGAATTCCAATGGGGTCAAGAATAGCAAGATGCCTTTGACAAGTTTATATCAACACTGACAACTGTACCACTATTCCTCGACTTTCTCGATAGATCACTACTATTTATTTTATCTACAGATGCTATTGAACTAAGAAGTGCTGAAGTGCTGAAGTAAAGCACAACTGATAGTTTGAAGATTTACTACTATAAATCAAGATTACTAAGTAATACTGAAAGTCGATATTCAACCACTGAACAGGAAGCTCTAGCGATTTACTGATGTCTCACGGAATTATGGAATTTCATTGGAGATTCCGAGATCATCATCGAAAGAGATTACAAACTACTGGTCAACATGCATAAGAAAAACAGTCATGGGAACAAAAGAATCGACAATTGGTTAATATGCCTACAAAATTTAATACCAGAAATTATGGAGATTAAATATCGTTGGGGGCATCGATACTATGTCACCTGATTACCTTACTCGATATGAAACAATCGACATGAACAATCAGCAACAGTTCCTATCTGCCATCACTTGATCAATGACAAGACCGATGGCTCCTAATACTACATCATCAACAGTGGTAGAACAAATTCACATAACATCACCACCGTTATGTTCGTCAACAATACCTGTAAACTTCACTTTAGAAAAGATCAAAATTGAACAAGGTAATGATATCGGTATTCAAGGTATTATTTCATGTATCCGTACTCAAAAGAAAATGGACAACGTTGTAATATACAACGATATTTTATTTCGTCTTATGGCTAAAAACAATCATAGTACCAAAAGGAAAGTTTCATATTGACCTACCTCGATGAAGCGTTCCATGATCATCCATTGAGTGGGCATTTCGGAGTACAATGCACTTTACATAAAATTTGCAGTCGATTTTGGTGACCAAAAATGCGACAATCAATTGCTCATTACATCTCATCTTGTCAACAATGTATGGAATTCAATATCCAACGCAGTAAAACGCCAGGTCATCTCAAATTATTTTATCCACCAACAGATGTATTTCAAATGCTATATATAGATTTTGGGGGTCCGATCCGTCCGTTAGCACAAGGAAACCGATACGTACTAGTCCTTATGGACAATTTATCCAAATGTGTAATAGGAAAAGCGATGCCAAATAATACTGCCAAGGCCGCTGTTGGATTCATTGTGAACAACATCATTATGATACATGGTGCATCTGAACGGCTCATCATGGACAATGGCGAACATTTTAACAATACGTTAATGAAGACCATTACCACAACAATGGACATTACTTACGAGTTTTCAACTTCTTACCATCCTCAAACGAATGGCTAGATTGAGCGGTTCAACGCTACATTCTGTTCACAATTGGCAATGAACTACGATGAGAACAAAGATGATTGAGCGGGTGTTGATATCGGTCTGTTCTAACAGGGCAATTCCACACCCACACCCTAATGTACATATATTTCACCAAACACACATGTTCATTTTCCCTTTCAGTATTATTTAATTTGTTAGGTTACATCAACTCTTTTACATGTGTTACTCATTCTTTTTTCAGTTGATGATGCCAAAAACATTCCTACAAGCTAATACGGAGTGCAAAAAAAACTGACCTCTCGAGATTAAAATGTAACTGAATATTTATTCATAATTACAAAAGAACTAAATTATATAACAACAGTAACAATATTAAATATACAATATATACAAGAACAGTTTTACATAATCTTACAATTGAAAATTTAAATCAAAGAATAGTTGTTATTTTCCACCTATGTGGACCTATTTCTTTATCATATATTCGAAAATTTAATTTTAACAGTCAAAGTATTTGTGATGAAAGTTATCTACAATAGTAGAGTGGGTAACATAGATTGTAAATATGTGTTGTAATGTAATGGTTATTTTGTGTATGCATTATTATAATTTGTGAAAATCTTGTCATTGCTAAGAATAATTCCAAAATTTTTCAAAATAAGGAATTTAAAAAAATGACTCGATTTCAAATTTTCTTTATTTTAGTTGGGAGAGAATGAAATAATTTTCCAGTTTTATTGTATTAAGTTGCAAATTAATTACACAACATACTACATATATTATTGTGTTAACTTATTTTAAAACTGTAACAATATTAATAAAAAATGTTAGGGGTCAGGTTTTTTTTTTTGCACACCGTACTATCCATCAGAAATATGATCCACAAGCATTTTGTCGTTGGTAGACACATTCATCGGAGTCTTTCTTGTTACAAAATATTGAACGATCATTCACTGCAGTTTCAAGATCAACAACATGATTAGGAAGAAATAAATTTTATAAAGAAATTGTTGCAAAGATGAAGATAAACATACATTATAGAAAAGAAATGTTATTAAATGAGGTTTTGATG